CTGCCCTTGGGCACCCAGCACTTTTTTGGGGCTTTCAGTGTCTGCACATAAACCTGTGCGACTGGAAGGCCCTGCCCTGCACACCTGGTCTTTGCTGAAGAGCACGGCCCTGCCCCGTGAGTCAGACAAGGCCCTGCTGTGTCCTGGCTGCACAGGGCAGGGCTGTTGTCCTTGTCCCTCGAGTAGGGCTGATGCAGGTGGGCAGGGGTGGGCTCTGATCCTTCGGTGAGAGGATGGGCGCTGTGCTCCGTCCTGGGGTCACCTTGTGTCTAGGTCTCTCTCCTTGGACAGTAACAGCCATTGCTGCTCGGTGCCCAGATCTGGGATTCACCGGGATTGGAAGCCGTGGCCCTGATCCCATCAGTCTGCTCAGTCACCAGGGGGCAGACTTGTGAGGAGCCCTTTCTCCTCATCAAATGGTACAGCTGAGGTAGAGAAAGTACTCAGTCTTTTCGTTTACTAGTATTTCAAGATAGCGAACTCGAAGCTTAACCTCAGAAAAACATTAGTTAGATTGGAGAGCCATGGAGGAAAAGGAGGGGAAGGAAGAAGAATGCAGACTTGTGACGTACACACACCACTCCCCATGAGGGATGGGGTCACTGTGTGCTATAAGCATGGACGAATACAACTTAAAACTCTTACATAGTAAAATAATGTAACACTCTCAGAAAAGAGAGACTATCACTGTGCACCCAGGCACCGACCTGCGTGTTGGCCGTCCATCCATCCATTCATCCTTGTACCCTGCCTGTGCTGGAGGGGCCGATGCTCCAAGAGCACCCGGCCTCCATGTGGGGGTTCGTGGGCAGTGGAGGAAAAACCCTCTGCGGGGGACCCAGGCCAGCTGCCCCAGACTCCAGACAAAGGACAATGGCTGAAGAACACAGACCCCTGGGCCAGGTTTGCAGGGGAATCTGAAGTCAGCAATTCCAGGAGCCCCTTGGCCTGGGCTCCCTGGCAGGGCTGCTGCATCGGCTCCTGCCAGGAGGGCGTTTTGGGGGCGGAGTTCTGGGGCAGTGGAATTGGGGGACCGCTGCTGCTCCTGGAGCCGCTCCTCGCTCCTCGGGACAGCCAGGATCACCCTGTGCTGTGCCTTTGCAGGCTTGTCCCAGCTCTTCATCCTTCCCACGCAGACTCGCACCCACAGCTCCCCAGGCTTCTGGGCCTTTGACTTGGGCCAGCGCTGTGCTCCTGGTTCTTCTTTTCCTGCAGCTTCAGCTTCTCGGGCTGAGAGGTACTGATCTTGTTCTCAGCACACAGAGGGCCACGGTGGACTCTCCTGCCTTGGCCCTGATGAGCTACCTAAGAAATCCCCTGCATGGCCATACACACATTTCCTACTGGCTCTGCTCCTCTCCAGAACCCAAACCAGCACACCCAGTAGCAGAAGAGTGGACGGGACACCATCGCAGAGGTCAGCTGGGCTGGGGTTTCTCATCCACTCCACTGGTGATGCAGTGCACTACCCTGCCCCCTCCACGGCGGGGAGGTCAGCTTCCTTGTGGCTGGAGGGACAGGGGCTCAGGCACTGACCGGCAAGGTCACGTGTGCTGCGGCCCTAAGGTCCGGTGTCTCTGCAGCCCGCAGTCTAGCAGGCCCCAAAGTTTCTTGGCCAGCCCAGTGGGGCCAGCGTGCTCCATTCTGGTCGCTGTGAGTCTGTGATGTTAGCACAGTGAGGAGGAATCCTGGCTGCGGAGGATTGAAAGACCCTGGGACACAGCCCCTTCCCCAAGATGTGAAATCACAGAAGGAATGGAAAGGATGAGGATGCTCCGCCTAGGCCATCATTACTGCTGTTTTATCAGTGAGGAGGCAGGCGAGGAGAAATCCTAAGCTAGGTACACAGGGCCAAGAAGCAGCTGTGTCCTGTGTGTCTTCCAGCAGCTCCAGGACTGGGCTGGAGTCTGTGCAGCTCTGCTGAGGCGCTGGCACGGGAGAAGCTGCACATCGTCAAAGCTTCTGTGGCAAGCCATGTCCACCGGCAGCAGGGGGCAGGGAAGAGGTGCCTGGGGAAACTGCTGCCCATCAAGCACCAAGCACCAGGCTGGTGCAGCCACAGATGCCCCGTTCCTGGCTTGGAGGGAGCTGGCCCCCTGACCTTTGAGCCTTGGACTGTGGGCTCTGCAACCTCCCTGGGTGTGCTCAGGAATCCCGAAGAGGATGTGAGAATCCTGGAGAGGCAGCTAGGTGGGGATGGCTCTGGTAGACAGAGAGAGGCTGGCAGCCCAGCAGCTCAGAGAGAAGGGGACACATGCTGCGGGGCGGGGCGGGGGGGTGTGCTGCAGGCTGGGGAGACAGAGCTGGAAAAACAGGTGACCATGGCCAGCTAATAAGAAGATGTCCCTGGAGAGGCCACACACATGTGGACACACGCACACATGCGTGTGTTCACACACAGACACAGGACCAGACCCAGCCCGGGAAAACTGGAAGCCAAATGAAGAGCAGTTGCCATTCCTGTGATTCTGTCTTTAAACTCCCATTGTGCTGAGCTAAGGAAGTGCTGCAGGAGCCCAGAGAAGAAAGGGAACCTGAAAAAGAATCATGTTACCTAACTTGTGGTGAGATAAAAGGGAAAGGGAGAGTGGGAAACTAGGACAAGTTTCTCCACAGCTGCCCTGGGCTCTGGCCAGGGTGCTTTGGTGACTCCGTTATGTAACCTGACGTTTGGAAAGCGCTCAGAGTGGGGGAGCTCCAGCGGAAGTCGTAGTAACTGTATAGGCTCACAAAGACGTGTCCAGGGTGGTGCTGGCGATGATAGGATTTTTCACTAATGTACACTTGCAATAAATGGTGGTCAGATTCATCACTGGAACTGGGACCTGAGCATAGCACCGCGGAATTCTTTGCTTGTCCTTTCCCCTCCCTCCAGCTGCGGGTCCCTCACATTTGCAGAAAGCTCTGGCTCCCTGTTTCCTATTCTCTGTCTTATTTTGCTCTCTAATTTATTTACACCTTGGGTTTCTCATATAAGAGAAACCATAGGAAACAGGAGAGGGAAGCTTTCCGCGCTGCACTGTCTTTCCACACCACCAAATACAAGCTATTCCATGACTCATTCTCCGTCCGTGGACAGCTGTGTGAGGGAGGGCGACATGCTTTTAGGGCTGAATATTTTTCAAAGTTTAACCAACTTTGTTGATCACCTCTTATTTAGTATTGGTGGCTATCTGTGTGACATAGTGTTACTGTCAGATGCCAACACACAATAGTTACATGTTTCAAGTATCGAAACTAAGGATCATTAAACAGTTTTCTACATTGAATTCAAATATTTGGAAGCTTTTTACCTTTTTGGAACATGCATAAAGTCCATATTCTGTGAAATACCTGCTACAAAATGCCTATAGGTATAAAATAAGACTAAAATGCATGACCTCTTAAGTTTATCATAAGCAGGCAGGAAAGAGCCACTGGCAGGGACTGGTCAAGAGTGGCAGGCAGTGCTAGCGAGCCCGGGAAGGCGCAGGGCGGCTCGCTCTGGGCCCCATACCCGGTTCCTCCAGCGTGGTGCCCACTGGGTCCAGCATCCAGCATAGCAGGCAGCAGATGCCCAGGGCTCCGAAGGACAGGTTTTCATGGAGCCAGGAGTTGCACCAGCCGACACTGAGACGTGTCCGCACTTCCGGGGAGAGAAGGCCACTCGGAGCTCGAGGCACAGACAGGGATAGGCGGATGGACCCAGAGGGCACTTCCCAGAGGGACATGGGCACAGGGGGAGTGAGAGTGCCCAGCAGGGTCCTGGGCACAAGCTCACGGGAACGTTACAGGCTAACCGGGTCGACTTACTCTGGAAATGTGGATTTCACTTAGTATTTGAAAATGAATTAATTTCATTAGGTACTGCAAACGTAATAAAAATTAAACTAAATCTTATAAAGAGAAAATGAACTAATCAGTTCACCATATTTTAAATTGAACTAGAACAGCAGATGACCTCAGTTGGTGAAAAATGTTTGACAAATTTGATAATATTTTTTGAAACAGGATCTCACTACTTAGTTCAGGCTGGCCTTGAACTCACTTATGTAGCCCAGGCTGCCCTGGAACTCGAGGAGGTCTTCCTGTCTCAGCCTCCTCAGTGCTGGGATTACAGGCATGCACCACCACACCTGGAAAATTTGATAAATTTTTGAACTCATTCAGCTTAAAGCCGTTAATATATTGAGATGGAAGAGAACTTCATTGTGTGTGTGTGTGTGTGTGTGTGTGTGTATTTATTTGTTTTGGAGGGACTGGGGATTGAACCTGGGCAGTGCCAGTCTTTTTAATTTTTATTTTAAGAGAGGGTCTTGCTAAGTTGCCCAGGGTGGGCTGAAACTTGTGATCCTCCCGCCTCAGCCTCCTGAATACAGCAGCTGGGATGACAGATATGTGCTATCTTGCCTAGTTCCAAGCACTGCTTTAAACTGGAAAAAAAAAAAATTGAACCTACAAAAATCTCAGAACAAATATTTTACCAAGTGGCAGAAATTGAAACATTTCCTTTCTAACATAATGATGACCCAGTGGCTCCATGCCGCACGTGCGTGGCTCTCACCCGTTCAGGGTGGCAGAGGGCATGGAGCTGTGAGAGTCCAACAGGGAGACGCTGGGTGCTGTTCCACAGTTCTCTGCAAGGAAATCCCCTCCACACAGCGTTAAGCTGTCAGAATTAAAAGGAGAGTTGTGCTCTGTACAACTATTGTGCACTAATAAAATAAAAAATTAAATTAAATAGAGGCTTTAGGAAAATCACTGAATATAAGATAGATTAAAAATAAATTTTTTTTTTTTTGGTACCAGGGATAGAATTCGGGTCCTTGCGCTTGCTAGGCAGCCGACAGAACCACTGAGCTAAATCTCCAGCTTAAAAATAAATTTTTATTTCTGCAAGGAAATCAACTCCATATAGCTTTAAATTACTAGAATTAATATGAGGATTTTATTCCATAAAACCAATATGCACTAATAAAATAAAAATTAAATTTAAAAAGATTTTAAAAAATCACTGGATATAAGAGAAATTAAAATCAATTTTATTCTATATTAAGCAACAATGAGAAAATGTAATTTCTTATACAGACATTGTTTTACAAGAGTGACAAAATATTTCCAGTGCTAGGAATAAATCTAACAAAATATATTTAAGACCTCTGTGGAAAATCATAAAACTTTACACAAAGTAAATTTAAAATCACCTAAAAGCATGGAGTGCCATTTTTGTGGGCATGAGAACCAAGTGTCCTATTGATGAGCAAGCTTTCTAAAAGTATTTAAACCCTGAAAGCTAATTCTAAAATGAGAGAAGGAAGGGTTAGCAAATCCACATCGCTCGTGCAGAGCTGGCGGGGAGTGGCTCAGCAGGCAGAGCCGCGCTGTAGAAATACACGCCCAGGCAGCACGGACCGGGCCGGGGGACCCTAAGCACACGGAAGGCAGCAGGAAAGGATGGAGGCAGAGATGTGGCTGCTCTGTTGGGGTGAAAGTCAGAAAGAGTCCATGAAAGCCGCAGAGCCAAAGAAAAATGGCCAAAATGTTACTCAGAGTACAAGTCAGAGACGGAAAGGACTCCCTTACAAAAAAGAAACAGATAATAGCACAAACCTTTTCAATCAACGAAGAGAAACTAGTAGTATACATGAGACAAATGACCATACATACTGAACTATTTTTGAAACTGTGGAATAGAGAATTGAGGGGAATCATTTGAACTCCTCTCTACTTCTCATTTCTCTATCTTCTATTTTGCTGTTTATTTATACCAGTGTATGTTCATATTTTGAGTTTCTCATATAAGATCATGGTACACAGTGCATTAACTAGTTATTCTAAGTATTTTATTATGAGATTTAAAAATTTTTTATCAAAGGAAGAGAGTGCTTTTCATATTTTCTTTATTAATATCTACATGTATTACATTAGGTTCAAAAAGAAAAAAGAAATTAGAAGGAAAACAATGAATTTTAGCCACTATTATATGCAAACATATAGTGGAGGTGAAATCAGCCAAAAATAGAGAAAGGAAATGAAGGAATAAATACTTGGGAATTTGGAAGAGAAAAAACTTAAACCAATCAGAAAAGTACAGAACCTAAAAGGAAAAATTGATACATTCAAACTTGCATAAAGTTCAGAATTTCGGCTTATTCAATAGACAACCTAAAGAAAATGAAAAGACAAGTAATAAATGAAAATATTTTCATAAAGCAACAATATTAGATGTTTATAAACACTGACTATATAGCTCAATGGGTAAGAATTTTAAAAGTCAGTGCTGCTAGTGGAATTATGAATTTGTACACCCTCTTAAACAAAAGGCAGGTGGGATTAACAGGAAATTCCACTTTCTGTCTAGAAAACAGCTTATAAGAATATATATGTATACACAATATTTGCTAAAAGAAATTTTAAATGTTTAAATGTGCTTTTCAAAATACTAATATTAAAATTTAAATATAAACAACTATAACATATTTCCATTCACAGATGTGAAAATCTTTATACATGTATTACAGTTAAAATGAATGAACTATAGCTAGGTGAGTGAAAATAGATATTTCTCCAAATCATGGGACACAGGCAGAAAGCTGTGGCTGGCAGAAACTGGGGAGGGAAATTCTGAAAAGGGTTCTGGAAGTGTCTTTTTGGGGTGACAAAAAAGTTCCAGATTTAGACATTAGTGATGATTTCACAACTTTGTGAATGTACTGAAAACAACTGAATTATATGAATTATATCTGGATTTAAAAAAATGTTAAGTCAAAAAGGCAAGCTGTAAAAGAATACAAGTAGTATGATAATGTTTATATTATGCTTAAGTATAAGTACAATGCAGAAATGTTTATATACGTCTTTAGTAAAATCACAAAGAAAAATAAGTAGAATCTAGGGTGGCAACAGATACTGGACTTAAAATATAGATGTCTTATTCATTAGTCTTGTAAACTGAAAATATTTTTACCAGGAGAATCTTGCTTTGTATGTTGAAAGGTAACCCCTGGCTAGGTATAATCTTTCCGAATTAATACTGATATCTCCACACAGTCAAACGGGTTCGGGAAGCAAGCTCTTAGTGGAGAGGAGACTCATTTCCCCCATGTATCTTTAGCCCTTGGAAAGTAGACCCAAACTGCTGACCACACTGTTTCCGTGCATGGGGGCAGTCTCCTCACCACGGAGAAAAGCCACTGAGCGCAGGCAGGTCTGCTGTACTTGAGTGACGGAGAACGGCTGGAATCCCAATGACTCCTGCTGCGATGAACCTCACACGTGCAGATTTCCCTCGGGCTCCCACGTTTATACTCTTTGTTTTTACAGCACTGGAAAAGTCGGTGTTAGAAGATGCCAATTCTACATTACTGTAATGGCACATTAAAAATAGACCAGAATTCTGTAGTTTAATCGTCTTCCCTGAAAAACTACATTTCCCCCCTCTTCTAAAAGCCTCCAGTTCACAGTTGGCCTTGGTGGCGCACGCCTGTAATCTCAGCACTCAGGAGACTGAGGCAGGAGGATTGCTGCAAGTTCAGGTTTGAGCCAGCCTGGGCTACATAGTGAGTTCAAGGTCAGCCTGAACTACATAGAAGACCCTATCTCAAAAACAAACAAACAAGCAAACAAACAAACCCTTCAGTTCACTGGAGGTGGCAGTGCATACCTGTAATTCTAGCTATATGGGAGGCTGAAGCAGGAGGATCCCAACTTCAAGGCCAGCCGGGGGCACTTAGTGAGACTCTGTCTCAAAATAATAATAATAGTAGTAGTAATAATAGTAATAATAACTGGGGACATGGCTCAGTGGTACAGGGCCCCTAGGTTTGGTCCCCATTATGGCTGGGGCTGGGGGTGTTAGCTTTTTTGATTGGCTTTCCTCATCTCTCCCCTTCAGCAATGGTTAAAAAGTAAATCAATGCCTCTCTGGAACTAAATCTAGAAATGCTTATTGAGTGCTCACCTGTCGGTGGCACTTCACAGAACACAGCAGGAATCGCTGCTGCTGCTGAAGGGGCCTTGCTCCCCCTAGGACACCAGCCCTTCCCTCCTGGCATAGTGAGGCCCCAGAGACCCCTTCCTGTGCTCCGCGGACACGAAAGAGGGTAGAGTTCGAGGAGCCGACCCCTCATGACCTCTGGGAACATCCAGGGAGCAGGTCTCAAGGGCTTCCGTCAAGCCGTTTATGTGGGCTTTTCAATCACAACACAAAACAATGAAGCCAAAACACAGACACACAGAATAACGGAGTGCACCAGGCATCCACTCCATGCCTGGTTCTTTAAGAACGCACCTCTGGTAGTGTGAATCGAAAACTTTGCTCTTCTGAGGAGACTGGCGGGAACCCATGTGCACCTCATATTCCAGCGCCCTGTCACGGGGGCACAAGTCACCCCTAAGATGTTCCATCCGGGGTCCAGGCCCTGAGCATCCGTCCGGGTCAGATGCAGTCCCTCGCTTGGCCCTTCCCGGGTCCTGAGGTCAGTTTCAGCCCGTCTGCTAGGTGAATACTGTGCCACACTGTGGCTCTGATGTGCATTTATTTTATGACAGGAAATGGCAAGCAAGTTTTCCTACGGTTAAGGCTTTTGTTTTTGCATTTATTTTCATTGTAGGGAATTATGTATTCAGATCATCCATCTTTGGTTATGTGTTTTTGGTCTCTTCATTATCTTATAGGAGCCCTTAGGATACTACATAAACACCTAAGTAGTACTTCATCCATGATATGCTTGCCATTTCTTTGTCCTTTGCAGTTTATCTGAGGTGTGATTAAAAATACATGGTGACTTTAAATTTTTAAAAAATGTATTACAGTAAAAGACACATTGTCATTCATTCCCCTCAAAATACCTGCCTTGGGCCGGGGATGTAGCTCAGTGGCACTGCGCCTGACTCACAAGCACAAGGTCCTGCGTTTAATACCCAGTACACACACAAAAAAATACCCACCTCACTTTACAGTCATCCAATTGTTCTTGGCAATGTGTCTTTACTGTAGTACACTTTAAAAAACAATTTAAACACTCTCCATATCTTTTAATCACTCCCTTATACTTTACTTTTGATTTTACTGCTTTCCGCTTGTGAATTCTGTTTGAGAAAGTCAAATTCATCAATATCTCTTTCTTTTTCCCCCTAAATGTTATGGTTTAAAGTTTTAATATTTAATTCTTTGGTTCACCAAGCAGTGTAGTGCAAGACACAGGTAAAGCTTTAATGTGCCTGCCTCTGTTTTCCGTGATGCCAGCCCACATTGTGTCCTGGCCCTCCGCACAACGAAACACCGATTTACTACACACCACACTGCCCTGTGTGATTGGGTTTCTTTCCATACTTAGAGCTGGCCTCTCGATTTGGCTATGTACAAATAGTTCTCTACCTCCCAGTGGACCCTGTGCTTCCTAAGGGCATTGCTGGGGTCTGGGATTTCATCTCATTTTTCTTACAAGCAAATAGATCAGCCAGCCTGTTAGTGGTACCTGGAGCTGGCCTCTTTGTTCACAAACGTGGGCAGAGGCAGCACCACCTGCCATGGGCTCCTCAACACAGGTGACATGCAGAGGCTGCTGGGCTCCCCACCTGCAGGGTAGCTGCACACTGAGCTTGGGGACTCTACTCTTTCTCTTTCATGAAAGACCTCATCCTTACAGTGTGGTTTGCTGTAAGCACAATCCTAGAAATGGACTGATTGTGGGAGTCCTGGCCTGAGCACACTGGCTCACCCACAAGAGAAGAAGGAGACAGAGAGACTGGGGTGGATGCTGCCCCCCAGAAGCTCATGTGGACCTCTGTTCACAAGACTAAGCCAGTTCCTGGTCAGGGCTCATGATCGAAGCTTGCTGATGAACAGACAGAATTAAGCAGCCACTGGGTCTATGCGGACTTGTCACTGGGTCATGTGACTCAGAAGGCAGACCTAGCTAGCAAACCTGGGTACATCAGAAAGGGTTTTCTCCTCCCAGGACAGCACTAGAGATTGCAAACACCATTTATAAAGGAAGGAGGAGCAAACTTTGTTTATCAACTTAGCAGATCCTTCAATTATATTCAAGAAACATTTGGAAGTGAATGGCTGGGATGCAAGGCTCTCAATAGACAGAGCTGTGACTCTAAGGAGGTGGTGCTTCAGGGATCGCAGGCAAGGGGCATCACTGCCTGAGTTGAGCTGAAGACTGGAAATGCTTGGGCTCACCGCCTTCAGTTTCAAGGTTAACGTTTAACATCAATCCACAGAAATAATGACGTTCACAACCAGACACGTTTTAAAAGTTGTCTTAGTTTACCTTACTTGGCCTGACCCCTTTTCTTTCTTCTAAGTGTAAATGTAAATGTCATTGAAAAACAGTAGTCTCCAGTATGAAGACAGAGCTCAATGCTTGTTTTCTATGATGTCTTCATATCACCTTTTCCTGGAATCTTCCCGAATCTGCAATCTGATGTAATATTTGAGACTTGGCGGAACTTCCTGGGTTCAAAGATGAGCAGGACTCTCTGGACCATGTGCCACTAGGAAATGGGCTTGTACACAGCAACACAGAGAATTGAAATTAGGCAGTAAGACAGCCCAGAAAAACGCCAGATGATGGTTATAATACGTACTACAAGGTTTTGTTTTCAAATTATGTGTAAAATGCTGTAACCGAAGGTAAACGTGAAAGAGGTCAAACATGCAAGGATATTTAATGGTGCCCTATTTAGATAGAAAGCTAATGGGAAAGACTGACATTTTGGATAATTCCTAAAATATGAGGCTTAATAAATCCTGAACACATGTTTAGTAATGTGTGCTGGGTTTTATATTTTGCACTGAGAAAGATATAGATGCTGATCTGTGGTTTAATTTTCTCTGACATTTACATTGTGAGGTTTGAAACTGTATTGTAGTTTTAGTGGGAGGAGTTTTAAAATTAGGCACACCTTTACTCAAAAACAGAAAAATATCCAGCAACAGAACATCAATATAGCTCATTTTCTATTTTCATTTTTAATAGCAGTGGGTATGGCTTTTTAATGTTTATTTTTACTATCTTAAAGGGGTTCTTACAGTGTAAAATATAATTTTAAGGTATTTTTACTATGTGATTCTTATTTTTTCTCTTTCAACAGGAAGATGCTAGGCTGGTATGGAAAGCTTTAATAAAGAGCTCGCGAGCACTAGCAAGAAGGCTGGTGTTTACCTCAGCCCCAGTTCTTAGAACGTGTTTATCTGAACTGAAATCTGCACTCAGCAGAGGCGGCAGGGCGGGAAACAGCAGTGAGAGGCATCTGCTTACGTTTCACAAGTTGTTGCTTTGTTTACTTCCTAGCGAACCTCACTAACCCGTGTTTCCTTACGGGACTTTAGTTAGTGACATTTCATTTTACGCGTCAAAACAAGGCACAAAGGGCAATACTTATCTGGATGGATAACTGCTCTTTAGAACACTGGACAGACATGTGGAGCCCTCGGACAGATGAACGGATACTGCCCCACGGGGGCTGAAGCGCCTCAGCTCAGTTCCAATTGAGACAGTATGGACAGTATCTGCAGACGGCAGAATCCCGCATATTGCTAAGAATCAAGTACCATCGTATGAACAACCTTTACAAGTCGAGACTGTTGATATTTTATACACCAGCTTTACTGTTTCATCCATAAAGGAAGGGCCAAGGCCATGGGCGTGGGCTGATGAATCAAGTCCCTGGACCCCTTTCCTTTCTTTGAATAAAGGCTCTGAGAAAACACATTTTTGAATGTTGTCTTACTTCATACGGCCCAACTGACACCGGGGCAATTGAGAAAGAAATGTCCTTTCATATTAACAAACTAGTCATAAGTTCAAATTATTTTACTCAATCAAAAGAATCACACTGGACACATTAATGGCCACATGTGATATATAGTTTTCTTCTTAGAATGTTTTTGTTATTTGTAGTTTTTAGAGTGTATTTTCTTTCCCATCTATACTTTTTCAGATTTTGCTTTTCCATATCTTTTGAGATACTCTCGTTTTTTCTATAAAGTCTCTGACACTCAGGGCCAGTGTGGGAGAGAAATATGGTAACTGGAAGGAAACCTTGATTGAACTTCATGTTTGATCCAGTAAATAGACCAAAATAATCCTGGGTTTAGATTTTTTTTCCCTATTCTTCTGGCTAGTTTTCTAAAACTTAGTTTAAATGGGCATGATGTGTATTTCCCATTAAACAGTTCTTACCCTAAAAATGCGAACTGGGATATAAAATGTGGTAGACAACGTGAACCTATTAGCTTGATAATGATTCAATCAAGTTTCTGCACTTAGGAATACCATCACTCCTCATCTGCCATTGGATATGCTTTTAGGCACAGTTTCCTTGTTTATTTCAAACCATTTCTATCAACTCCTTTCAAGATCGATGCAAACCAAGTGTGCATTAGGTCACCAGCAACCTCCTCTCCGCACTGGCCCCCACTGTGGCTGTGACGGTTCACCCGGAGCCCACTGCCAGTGGGTGGCAGCATGCATCAGAGCGGGTCGCATTTCCTCTGTTATCTCTGGGTTAAATTTCAAAACTCTAGAATTCTGACTGAGAAAGTTCCATAAACAGGAGGGCCCCTGGCAGGATGCGGGTGGCTCCTGTCCCACTCCTAACTTGAGTGGTTTTCAAAACCAGGGCAAGGACTTGCTCCTAGAATCAACAGTGAGGTCAATGCACACGGGCTGATTGTCCCCCTCCTGTGACCTGTGTACTTGGCACAAGGTCACTCCCAGCTGCTCTGACTGCACTCCCCGCCCCCGGAAAATAGAGCTGTGTCATTTTAGAGACATTTTTAATATCATCAGTTCAGCATGTGCAGGCTGAGAAGCAGACAATTTTGTTCTGCTCTGGCAGAAAAACAAAACAAGAACACTGTAGCCCAGCGGGCTAGAATAGCAATAGCAAGCAATACACAGACGGCCAAGCCAGTCATGCAAAACACGGATGTAGGGTATGACAGGGTCCAGGTACCCAAGGAAGTGGGTCTAAGGAGGAGTCTTGCATCATTTTAGCATACTTACCAGTGCTACACAGCCTCTATGTGTTGTTTTATTGTATTTTTGGCAGTGCTGGGGATCAAATCCAAGATGTCATACATGCCAGTGTGTGCTCTCCTGCTGAAATACACCCCAGCCCAAATGTGTAATGTTTTATTTAACCAGGGAAAGTCTTATCAGCAAAAAGCTTTTTTTTAAAAAAATCTAGAAATACATTCTTTAACTTCAAACACAACAAAATCCACAGTGTATTAATAAGTTTAAATTCCTAACTGCAGTCACTTTTTAATTGAATGCATGTATTTCTTCAACATAATTATATTCAAATGCAAATCCTTTGAGCGTCACATTAGCTGCATTTGTACCCACTACACATTTTTCTAAATAGCATCAATTCAAATATTCATATATTTTTCAAAAGAATTCTTATTATAAGTTATGGTAGTTTGCTTTACTACATTTGTACACTATATAAAATCCCTCCCCAAATGAGCATTCAGGAAAGAAACTATTTAATCAATATGTTTAATGAGCAGGATAAATACTAAAGTGGAAAGCCTTTACAATTTCCAAAGGACTGATACAATCCATTGATAAATCTTGATTCTTTAAATGTTTGCAAGGCCATTCATAGGTAGTAAACATCCAAACAGCAGTTACATTCTTGCATATAAATCATTCTGTTGCAAACACACAGACTTAGCATGTTACAAAATTCTTGCACAATTTCAGTTGAAACATCTTAGCAAATAGATGCAAAAAAACTAGCTGGCAAGCCCTGTCAGTCACTGAAACCTAGAGGGGCAAAAGTCATGCATCAAAGAGAAATGGAAACATATTAAACAAGCTACTGAAGCACATTATTGCTTAGCATAGGGAAATAGAAAATGTTTTCATTCTTTCTAAAGATTAACTATATCCTCTGATATAAACCCAGGAAATTGAAATCTGTAGATCCTAAACTACATTTCAAACGTGAATGACAGAAAATACATTTCTATGTTGCGTTCCACTGAACAATCTGCTTAGTCACTTTTTAGACTGAGTTCACCTAGACGCTGTCAAACATGAACAAGGTGAAGAATTAAAAAGAAACACACACACACTGAAATGTTACCTACTTTTCTCTTTTTACATATGCCTCTCTTACACAGAACAAGGACAACGAACAGTGCTGGTTATTATTAGTAGCAATATTTGTACCATGGATTTGTAGCACATTTTATGGTTTTATAAAATTGATTCCTTTATGAAAAATAAATTATTCCATAAAAGACCTTTCCTTTTAATAAAAGTATCATTATTTCATCTGAGTCTATGCTAAAGACAGTATCTCCCCTCAATCTTCTTGCTAAAAGATATGGTCTTTTCGCCATTGAAAGGAGAGCCAGTTTCCAAGGAAACATCCTGAACCTAGATGAGAAAACAAAACAAAATAACAACATACAACAACAACAACAACAACAAAATGCATTCAGGCTGTGGGCTGGCACCAGGCCAGGTATGCAGCCTCCATCCCAGGGCCCAGCACACCCGCAGATGTGACTAGCTGAGTTCTGCTGAAAAAGTATGGGAGAACAGTTGGAAATTCAGAAGGTGCAGAACGAGCTTCTGGTAAATAAATCGCTTATTGGGCAACAGGAAGGAGCAAAGGAAAAAAGCCCCTTGAGGAAGGAGGAAGACAGGGTAATTGCACGGAAGGAAGTTTCTCCGGGCTCGGTCTGGCGGAGCTCCAGAGAAAAGGAAACCGCAGCACTCCGGCTGAGGCCTGGCGCTTGCTGTGGAGCCCTCACCACGACGTGGGAAAGCCACCAGGGCAGGTGCTGCTCCGCATCCTTCCTGCCCTCCGCAGCCCAGCGGGGCAACAGCGGCACCTGGAGCTTCTGACACCCTACAAAGCCTGGCCTTTAACACCTGCACGGCTCTGAGGAGAGCAAGGAAGGCTGCACCCACGCCTTGGCACAGCGCGGGCACTCGGCATAGCTGGAAATCTCAATGCGCACCGGGTCAAAATCAAAAAGAAAATGTGAGGGCCGAGAGAGATGCTTCCTGGGAATAAGTCGTGGCCTGAGCGGGCAGGAGGTGGGCTCGTGTCACTGGCTGCTATTTAGGGCTGTGGCACACACGCGCGCTCGCGCGCGCGCGCGCACACACACACACGGGCTGTCCGCATCGCTCAGAAAGTGGGCGGACATGAGCACAAAGCCAATAAAACCCGGCCACATTTTCTTCAAGCCCTGAGATATGACTCCCTTCCTATTACTCCTGGAGCAGACACATTGACGGGCAACACGTGTCAGCACAAAAACGGCAACCAAAAATCTAAAAGGAACGGAAAGGCAAAACCTGACGTCCATAAAGGCGGCGCCCCAATAGCACGCGTGCACACACGCACAATCACGCGCGCACACGCACGGGGCACACACTTACACCGGCGTTCACGGGTGCGTTATTTTAGGTCTGGTTTGAAAGCGGGAGATGGTCTTTCCCCACGGCTCCGCGCCCAGGGCTGTGCCGCCGCCGCCCCCAAGTCACCTCCTCCTCCGTAACCCTCGCTGGGTGCGCGCTAGAAAGGAAGCGCCGCGTCCCTGCCGCAGCGAATCAGCCACCCAGCCCGAGTCGCATCTTACAGCGTTCAGGTGGATGCTGCCCTTTCAGGAGTCAGAACCTTAACTTCCACCCCGAGGATCTCCGGGCCTTGAACACCTGCAGAGGCTGAGCGGACGTCACGGCCACAGCCACCGCGCGGCCGGCCGGAGGAGAGGCGGCCGGGCGCGGGGACCCGGGGGCGCTGTCGCCGCGGCCACCCCCTCCCGGCGCCATGGCAACCGCCCTCCGCGACGCCCGCACGTCCTCCTGCGTCTCCGGTTTCACCCCCCGCCCGACTTACACTTCCCGGGACCTGACGGGTGGATGGCGCCGATGACGCCCCGGAAAGAGCCCACGGCCTCCGCCTCCGCCCGGAAAGGCTCGGTGCCCGCCAGGAGAGGGGCCGCAGCGCCCGTAAACAAGGCGCGGGCACCGGGCACCGCCCCGGGCGCGGCT